TATATATATATATACGTTTTATGAATTAACACCAATTAACTTGGATTTGATATCAAATTTGTATTATCAATTTCTTCACAAGGAGTACACATTATTATTCACTCAATCTTGATTGTGATATTTAATTCATTTTATTTATGTCACATTTTGGTACACCATTTATTGATTTGTTTTGATTACACTAATCACTGTTACATGATTTAAGGTCACGAGCACTGCATATTTATTTATTCACCAATGTATGTAATTGGAATGAATTTTGACAAATGCATTTGGATTAAATAGTTAATAAAACAACAGCTAACAGTTATTGATGAACTCCAGGCAGATATTAAAGAAACATTCATGTACAGTGTACGTGACAAGTCATTTGGTCCCTTTGTGGCTGGACGTACAGTGTACGTCTCCCGTCACGAAGGGGTTAAATTATTTTTTGTATTGAATGCAAGCAAAACATGTACCTGAATTTGACTTGGTATCACCCTCTTGCAAACCACTGTACAGCAGTGTTTTGACTGAAAAAGGGAGAAGCAATACAAGGAGACCGTCATGTGTGCTGCAGTGCCCATGTGCTAACAAGACACATGCTAATTGTAGGAGAGAGTAGGACAGAGAGTTGGGCATATCAGTCTGCCACTTCTCCTTTCACTATCCTATACTGTATATTTCATAAAATAGTATAACACATTACTTTACAAAACCTGTAAAAATTGGCACAAACTCATTATCGTTACATAAGTTACTCATCACTTTGACTTTGTTTTTACAGGCAGTGCGGCTACAGTAAAGCAAGTCAGGATGGAGATGAAGAACTGTACTTTCATTGTGAGTATGCTAATTGTCATTGTTAGAACAAAAAACAAACATAAATATAAAAAAATACCAAAGTCCTGTATTTTACAGACTCTAGTAAGATCCTCATACCAAGTATATTTGTTCACCATAGTGTCACCAGTCATGGAATATTTATTCCAAGCTTTCAACAGCTAGTTCACAAACATGTCTCTAGGGGGTCTATCCACGAAGCAGCCGAAGGATCTAGCTGTAGCTTCGGCTGATCCTTCGGCTAGCTTCGGCCCCAGGACCTCTTTGGTTCAGTAGAGCCGAAGGGCTGCTGTACGGGCTATTCACTATAGCCCGTACAGCTCCCGAAGTCATCTCACAGCTGGCTCCAGCCACTTGCACAGACAGATCAGCGTCCCTGGTTACCAGGTAACCAGGGACACTGATCTCCAGACAGCCCAACTCTCCCGAGCGCTCCGGAAGTCTCCCGCTCCTGACCGCCCAGGAGAGAAACACTGCTTTTTATTTATTTATTTTTATTCTGACATCGAGCCGTTGGCTGTCGTCAGAATTAAAAAAAAATGCTCCATAGGAATGCATTGCTAGATTTCTATTGGCTATTTCAATTTGCAATAGCCAATAGCAAACTAGCTAAAAGGTTGCAATGATGGAACCTTTTCGGACTCTTTTTGCATTTTTTTTGCACTTTTATAATTAAAAGTTGCGTGTAAAGGGGTCAACAATGGATAAACTTTCCTGAGATTTAGTTTGCTGGGGGGAATTTATTAAAATTGGAGCAGACAGAATCTGGAGCTGCTGTGCACAGTAACCAATCACCTTCTCTCGTCAGTTTATATAGTTAAGATTTGAAAATGAAAGAGAGAAGCTTATTGGTTACTGTGCACCGCTACTTTAGATTTTGTCTGCTCCAGTTTTGATAAATTTCCCTCACAGTTCTTTCCATAAAATACTGTTTTCACCTTTTTTTGTATCTCACTGCTTCTGATTTCCACCAGTTTAATTTTAGCCACCTTTTGTCTACATGTACACGCTCACTGCACATCATTGCTCTGGATAGGTTTAGTGTGAGTAAGAAATGTGGACCATGCCTGTTCAACTGCTTGCATTCTCCCCCAGGGGTGTATGTGACAGGGTGAAAATGCAGGAGCTTGGCTGAGAGGCACTTGCCAGTCCATAACGGGAAGAGCTTGAATAAGGCACGTCATGTCAGGATCATCAGGGAATATTATAATGAAAGCTGGAGATTTAAAATAAATAAATAAATTAACATTGTAAAGCTTATGAGATTTTAGTGATTGGATTTACATGTACTTTAAGCCATTAGCTATTGCCTTTCAACCCCTCAAGTCTAAACCATGCTTTTATGGTAAGAGTATGCTTCAGTGTTTAACATATTTATGCTATATCCTAATAGTCTATGAGTGTGAATAAAGACAGGAATTTAACAGATAGGACTGATGCCTGAAATTTCCAGGATAAATTGCATTAGAAATCTGAGAATAATATTGTATGCCTACCTGCCACTTTTCTGGGATAGACCTTACATTCAGAAAACAAACTGGAGGTGTTTTTACATTCAGCCTTTTTTTGTATTTTTATTATAGTCACATTATAACATTGAAATTACAGACACATTGACCTACATATAATTTGTATTATATTATAATATATAAATTTAAGATTCTTAATGCACTTGGCCGAATTACAAAATACAAAACATCTACAAAACTTATAACATTTGATCCTTGAAATGTATGGCTATCCATTGACTACAGCTGTCCTTAGTTGAAAATGAAGTAAGACATTTACTGTTCTTCAAAAGATCAGAGTAGCAATTACCCCCAACTATTTTTCTTCTAACACACCCATTCTTTATTTTACACACAGATTGTATATGTCACCTAAATTCGGACTGCATGCACATTAAAAATATTACAAATATTATAGTATGACCACCAATCAGATTTCAGCATTTTCCTCCATCTGGCAACTTTCAAGTTTAAGCCTAAATCCAGGCAAACAGCTAAATACACAGTTAAAGTTAGGGATGTTCAGATACCAGAGCTTGGCATTTTCACTAGAACTACCAGAGTTGCAGAAGTTGCAGTTGTGTAAGGGCTCTGGCGCTCCACCACTGTCCTGAAATCATTAGTCTGTATTGTTTTAGAAAAACTGTCACATGACACTAAACAAAAAGGTATCAGTTATTGGTATCTGTGAGGACAAGTATCAGTACTTGTACTTGGACTGGAATAAATTATATCAGTGCATCCCTAATATATATATTGTAGAGTTGGGGGGCTCACAGAGCACTTGCACAGAGGTTTTTCCACAAACAAAAGCTTTTATTTCCCTCTTCGGGTCAGTCAAAATGGGAAACACAAATATAACTTTATCTTCAGCAAAAACTCAAAGGAAAGTCTGTATCTTCGGCAAATAAGAGGAAACATAAATGTGTCTCACCAAATTGTCATACAGAGTCCCAAGCTTGGCGAAATCCCTTCCCAGGAATATAAGTCCTGAATCACAGCCGCACAGCAGGTCCCTCATGCACTAGCCACAGCTGACATCTTTTCTGCTTACTACTCCCACACGCCTCTATAGGGTTGCAGACTTTTCAAACCACTTCTTGTGGCAGGATATTGCACCCTCTGGTGGCCCTTAAAGGGACTACAACCCAAGCAGTGGTGAGATATACCTGCCTTCAATGACCCAGCCTTGCCGTCCTCTACAATATACAGTATATAAGACAAATCATACATTAAAACAGAAATGCACGAATCCCAGGAGTCCCATATCCAATGCTCCATAAAAATGACAGCTGCCTCATAACTTTTGAACTTTTCTCTTGTCTAGTCTTGGAGATGAAAAGTATCGGTACTTCGAGTTTCACCTGTATATAATAAGGAATGTTCAGATACCAGTGCTGATACTTGGCATTTTCACAAGAACTACCAGGGTTGCAGCACTTGCAGCCACAACTGGGCCCTGGTGCTCCACCACTGTCCTGAAATCATTAGTTTGTATTGTTTTAGAAAAACTGTCACATGACACTAAACAAAAATGTATCAGTACTTGTATCTGTGAGTACTTGGGTATCAGTACTTGGTCTGGAAAAAATTTTGAACAGCAATAGACAAGTTTCTGATGCCAGTTTAAAACGCTTCGACTGGATTGTTCGTATGAACGTTCATGTAAAAATCTACCGATGTATACCCTACTTTACTCTGCTCTCTCTTTTTGTTAGCATGTCCTTATTAGTTCCAAATGCTGCTCCTCCCTCTCCCAGTCTGAGTTTTACTGTACATGAGGTTATATGAGACTGATTCCAGAATACCTATACAAAATCAAAAAGCTGTTTAAATGACTATTGTTAGCACTGATTAAATGTTTTCATTGTTTTAAGTATAATTTTTTAAAAATTATTTCTGATCCGGGCTGTTTAGCTCACAGGCACTCAAGCAAACTTCCCCTATCAAAATGCCATAGTTTAAGTTTGGGCTCATTCTACTACATAACTGTTAATCAAGAATATTTTGTTTATGTTGTGGCCCCCTTTGCTAGGCTTCACAGCAGTACAGAATGCTAAAATGGGGTTCTCATACTAAGAGGTTTGTGTAGACATTTTGGAAAATATGGGCATTACTGGAGTTAGTGGGTAAGCATGTGTTTTGCCTTAACTTGCTGACTCTGCAAACTCCACAGGCAGTGTCAACTCACCAAGAAGACTCAGTAGTAGAATATAATGTAGTTTATTTCTGCTTGGCACATTACAGAGGATTTTTTTAGTGTTTTCTAGCAGAAAATCTGCTATCATAGCTATCTGAATAAAATTTTTACTCAGAAAGGTTAAAATGAAAATAACAAGGGAAGGAGAGGTAAATGTTTAACTAGAGGGCTGTACAAACCAACAAAAACTAGAAAGAAGGCAGGGAACATAACAAGTACAATACAATAAACATATAATGAATGGAATGCTTTGGCAGCACAGCATGAAAACACTTGAACACGAAAACCATTTTTTTTGAAGAAAAAAAAGAAAACTCTTAATTTGCTAAATATTATATTTAGCTTAGTCTAAAAGCTCATTGTTATGTGCTTTAATACAGTAAATGCATGGCAGCCACAGATACCGTTACAGTCTGCTATCCAAGAAAAATAAACCAAGTCAATCATGCAGTGTATAAGACACTGTGTGTGTTGTTAGAATTCTGCGCTGTTTGCTGACAATGTCAGCTTTCCTCTCCGCTTGGCATAAGACTTTGTCTTTGTGGGACATCTCTGGGTTATCAAGATGCAATCATTTCACAGACAGGCCCTGTCAGAGTTGGTCCAGATGTGAGAAAGGATAACTTGATTTGATTTTTTTGGCGGATGTCATGTCATTTTGCTATCTTTTGCTCCCTGAAGCATTTCACTGGAGGTCCTTGCCTGACTCAGTTTACATACCACACTCTCTCTCCTGGCTTTGCCTGTGATTCCAAATACCTGCTTTAGTGATACTGTATTTAATGTACAAAAGCTGCTCTTGCTTATAAGATGATGAGAAAAAAAAGCAACAATTACTTTTTGTTTAAAAGGATGCCATTAAACCTGAACTCCAGGTAGATCTAAAAAAACACCAATTAATAAAGCTATGTCTTCACTATGACAACAATAAATTTAAATGCAACTAGTGTTAGTACCTGTGCAATCACCTGTATAGCACATTCAGGCTTGGAGACCTCAACTATCTAAACAAGTTAATGTGTACCTAGAATTATAGTTAAAAAAAAACACAAAAGAAAAAAACAAAAATGGTGTGTACTAAAGGCTCCTATGAGTGTATGCACCAACCCCTAAATTATGGAAGGCTCCATGCAGATACCCAATACCTGCTGATTCTTGCTATTGACTGACCGCTGTGATCAATGGACTTACTTACCATTAGTTTAGGCTAAGAAGGTGGGAGCTAGCATTCAGTGCTGGGAACTAGGAAACCTGTTTCATGTCCATGCACCCCAGAATTCAGGGCTCATGCC